TAGCAGCATATCTATTCTAACATACGAACAATGTCTATAAGAAAAATGCGTGAAATCATATTCCTGTGGATGGAAAAGTCTCCAAACATCATACATAGCCACCTTTTTCAAAACAGTGGAGAGAGCTCTCGCCCTTCGATGTAATGCTGTATCAATTTGAACCCCTTTTTTCATTCTCTTATCCCATTCCGTGTCCAAGACACAGTTAAAATCGCCTGCCATTATCACCTTGCCCCTCGAAATTTTATCTAATTTATCTGTAATTTCTCTCACAAAAGCCACTTGTCCCGAGTTGAGGGCATATATATTGGCTAGAGTATATATATCGCATTATTCAATTTACATATCAATATAATGTATCTAGCCTGTGGGTCAGTTTCCGGATAAATAACTTCACATAGCATATCTTTCCCAATCCAAATTGCCACTCCACTCTTTTTCCTTTCCCTAGAAGCCTTAACAACAAAAGCAGTTTGCTTCCCCAGATAATATTCCTTATTGGGTCTCTTGTAAAAAGCAAACTTGTATTCTTTCTTCGTTAAGCAACTCTATAAGTGCCTTTTTTTTTTGAGGACTATTAAGACCCTGGGTATTTAGCGTGAGCATTTTTCTACCGTTGAGTGGTTTAAACAATACAAAACTTACAAACAAGAGCCTACTAAACTCATTAGAAAACCCAAACCCCCAGCCCTTAGTCCTCCCATAAGGACTACCAACATGCATATCCCGAATGTTCACAAAGAGTACTGAAACTACAAACCGTAGCTACTCTTTACTAGGTGACGCAAACAAGCTCGACTCAGACAAGTTATTATTCTTAAAGTAATATATAAAGAAAAAAAAAATCCTCAATCTAAAGTCAATTCACAGTACATAGGTATCTTGTTGAGGAAAGAGCATAAAGGAAGGAGAAGAGGGAAAGAAAAAAAAAAAAGGTATATATAATAAGTAATATAACCTACTCATCTGTTAATATCATCTATGAAAATATTTACCCTATTTTTCTTTTATCTCATATTATAAAACTAATCATTAACCAATTACTTCCAGATACTACTCAACACCAATTAATATTCATATTCAAAGATTATTATCTAAATTCCTATATTTCAATTACTTATTCTGTAAGTCATGAAATGACAATTTAGTAAATCAATTACCAAATTATTTCTACTATTTAACCACCATTGCCAATTACAATTCAAAAATATAAGTGCAGACAAAACTTGGTTACTTATTACTCTCCACTATTTAAGTGTTTGCCATTCTCTAATTGCATCATCCTCAAACATTTATCTTACAGTAATGTATATTCATATTCTTATATTCCATAGTGACCCACCGCACATCAAATTTAAACTAGTAATCAGTGCATCCGTGATAATTTATAAAGAGAATCGTTAGCTATGTTACGCTTGTTCATATAAAAAAAAAAGTGTGCAACTATTCATGTCTAGCCTGCATGTATCTGTGTACGCTGTTGTGGCGTTTGATGATGATCTGTACCTACCTGCACAAAAAAAAAAAAAAGAATACATCTGAGTTTTCTGAACAGGGGGATGTTTGGGTTTATTGTAAATTACCACTATAGCTACCAAGACCACTACATCTCAATTAAATTGTCTGGGTGCAGTAACCCTGTAGTTTTAGTCTGAAATGTAAAACATTGATGCTTAGAAATCTTCCTGACAGCCAACAGAGGAGCCTTCGCTGTGAGAATTGAGTCTGATTCTCTTATGTCACCTCCTCTTATGCTTTTTATAAACAGCATCAAATTGGAGGACAGGAGAAACATGGAGCTTCCTGTCTTCTGTAAGAGAAGCATTGCATTGGATGAAAAGACAAAGTGGAGTCAGCGAGACGCTATGGTTGGAGGACTGGGAGGCGTCAATCTGATTGTCTAGGTGCTGGAAACAAGGCAATTCAAATATATTTAAATGCATTATTAACCTTACAATGGGGTAACAGAGGTCACAATAATCATGGGGGAACTTATAGTCCTGAAAAACAAATATTATTTTTGGGACCATAGGATCCCTTTAACCCTTGCACCAACTGAAGATAGTCATGTGCACACCTTGAGGGGCCACTACACACAAAGCAAAAAATATATATTTAAAGTGACAGAGCAAGTAAATGGAGCATGTAGGTAGGTTTTTGCCCTTCCATATTTTAGCTTCTTTTTAACCCCTTAAGGACACATGATATGTGTGACATGTCATGATTCCCTTTTATTCCAGAAGTTTGGTCCTTAAGGGGTTAAAAGCCAGTGTTAAATGAATGTGTTGAAGATAACCAAACCTTTAAAACAAGTGTTATTTCTTCACTTTGTTTTGAATATAAACAATATGAAGACGATCTTAACCCCTTAAAGGACCACTCTAGGCACCCAGACCACTTCAGCTTAATGAAGTGGTCTGGGTGCCAGGTCCAGCTAGGTTTAACCCTTTTTTCTATAAACATAGCAGTTTCAGAGAAACTGCTATGTTAATAATAGGATTAATCCAGCCTCTAGTGGCTGTCTCATTGACAGCCGCTAGAGGCGCTTCCGTGCTTCTCACTGTGATTTTTCACAGTGAGAAGACGCCAGCGTCCATAGGAAAGCATTGTGAATGCTTTCCTATGGACTGGCTGAATGCTCGCGCGGATCCTGCCGCGCATGCGCATTCAGCCGAGGAGGAGGATAGTCCCCCACCCGGCGCTGGAGAAAGAGGTAAGTTTAACCCCTTCCACCCCCTAGAGCCCGGCAGGAGGGGGCCCTCAGGGTGGGGGCACCCTCAGAGCACTATAGTGCCAGGAAAACGAGTATGTTTTTCTGGCACTATAGTGGTCCTTTAAGGACGGAGGCAATTGTACATGTTCTGACAAAAACAAAACCTAGAATTTGAGCTATATGTTTGTTCAACCATAATTTATCTATTTCATATTAAGTACCCCCACACTTATTATATATTATTTTGTTCAGGGCTTTCATTTCACATCTAATGTTTATATATGTAATGCAATTTAATATGAATAAAATCTGGTATTTTTTTTTAATTCTACTTGACAATTTAACTGTAAATGTCTTAATACTATTAGCTTTATAGCAATAACACACACATATTCGCATGCTTTGATGTCCCACAACAAAGTTACAGGGTCATATTCAAGTACATTCAGATATTCTCTAATGGAGAAGGGAAGGGAATTCCACAGGAACAGTGCAGCCCTAGTGGAGTTTTAAAATTGAGCTTTAGAGGTTGAAGCACGAACAAAGGATAGACGTAGGTCTTTAGAAGAGACTAGGGGCCTAGATGGGATATATTTGTGTATTAGGGAGGATAGGTAGGAGCAGCGTTATGTGGAGATTTTTGAGCAAATACCAGAATTTTTAATTAAGCCCTAAATCTTACAAGGAACCAATGTAGAGATTGACAGAGGGGGGGAGGCGTGGGACGTGCAGGTGGACAGGAATCTGAGCCGCATTCATTCTACTGTAACGGGGCAAGTTGGGAACACATAAGACCACTGAGAAGCAAATTGCAGTAGTCAAAGCAAGAGAGAACAGCTTCATGAACCAGCACCTTAAACGTGTCCGGCGTTAAATAGGGGCAGATGTGTGCTATGCTTTTGAGATGGAAGCGGCAGGATTTGGTGATCGACTGGACATGAGTGGTGAAGGAGAGGTTGTAGACCAATCTGCTGTGTCGTGTTGATGGTAGCAATGCAGTGCCAACAAGTCGAAGATTCCCTGCGGACACTTTGGAGGATTCTTTGATGGTTTTCGATCTCATCTGTGACTGCTTCTGGAGTATGCTTGAGGACAGGAAAAAAAAATCACAGCAGTGTGCATATGTGCCCCAACACGTATTGCAGTTGCATTCCAATGAGACAGGGTCTGCGTCTGCTGAATGTGACCCACCAACAGGCCCAGACTGGCCATCTGGAGGGAGGCAGGAGAGGGCCCGGGGAGCTCTAGCCAGCAGCTCCGCCGGGTTCCTCTCGCAAGGTCAGAGCGTTGCCGTGGTTAGCACGGCAACACTCAGATCTCGCGCAAGTGAACTCTAGACCTTCAGGCTGGAGTTCACTCTCACCCCTAAGACCACCAGGGATGGCAGCACGGCTCTCCCCAATCCCAGGCTAAAGGTAAGAAGGGAGGGGGGATATCAGTTTAATTTTATAATTAAACAAAAACACATATCTAAATAATCATATTCACTCACACTAACAGCACCCTCACATAGCACACTCAGACACACACAGAACCCTCACACTAACAGCACCTTCACAAACACACATCACCCTCAGACACACATAATCTTCATACACACAGCACCCTCAGACACACACAGCACCCTTAAGATACATAAATAGCACCCTCACATACTCATGTATATATATATATATATATATATATATATACATTTATTAACCCTCAGTGAGTTAACAGACAAAGACAATTAGAAACATAGAATGTGACGGCAGATAAGAACACCCTCACACACACTGCACCCCTCACACATGTGCTGCAAACATCACACATACACACAGCACACCTAACACACTACGCCCCTCACACATACAATACGTCCAAACATATAAAATATACACTCTGAATACTCTACACACACACACTCTCCTATAAACACTCTGGGTCCTTTACACACTAGATCTCCTACACACACACTACATTCCTGACAAACAAACTCTGGATCCCCTATGCACACACTACATTCCTTCTAAGCAAACACACACAACATTCTCTAAACACACACTCTCTACAATCCCTACACACACTACGTCACCTATATACACAGACACTACAGTCTGTATGCACACACTCAATACATCCCCTATACATACTATGCCCAGGGCCGGATTAACATAGGGGCTGATGGAGCTGCAGCTCCAGGCCCAGGCCCATGGAATAGGCCCATCTAAAAAGTTTTTTTTTTTTTTACACACTACTCTTAGGTTTTCCACCTGACTGGTATTTTACTGGCACAGCCGGTATTTGAGGCTGCCTGGCCATGCCGGTATTGCAGTAATACCAGCAATACAATTGCAGGTATTTTTCTCAGAATAAATGGAGATTACTCTGCAATACCAGCACCAGCCAATAGAGGTCACTGTGTGGAGAGAGGCAGGGATAGGAAGTTACAGCATATCCCTGCCTCTCTCTACTACTTACTGATCCGTGGGGGAGCAGCAACACAGCACAGAGTCCAGACAGCAGCTCTACAGCTCAGGTAAGTGAGGGATGGGGACACTGGGGGACACATGGGGACACTGAGACACTAGGGGACACATGTGAACACTGAGACACTAGGGGACACATGTGAACACTGAGACACTAGAGGACACTGAGACACTAGGGGACATATGGGGACACTGAGACACTAGGGGACACAGACTCTAGGGGACACATGGGGACACAGACACTAGGGGACACTGAGACACTAGGATACATGGGGACACAGGCACTGGGAGACCTGGAAACACTGAGACACTTGGGGACACTGGAAAACATGGGGACACTGAGACACTAGGGGACACTGGGACACATGGGAATATTGAGAGACACTGAGACATTGGGACATGGAGACACTATGTCCCCATTTCTCCCAGTGTCCCCATGTCCCCCATCCAGTGTCGCTAGTGTCTCAGTGTCCCTAAGTCTCACAGTGTCTGTGTCCCGTGTCTCTCAGTGTGCCTAGTGTCCCCATGTGTCCCAGTGTCCCTATATGTCCCAGTGTCCTCATGTCTATGTCCACAACTGTCCCCAAGTCTCCAAGTGTCCCCATGTCTCTGTGTCCCTAGTGTCTTAGTGTCCCCAAATGTTTCAGTGTCCCTATGTCTCCCAGTCTCTGTGTTCCTAGTGTCTCAGTGTGCCTTGTGTCCCTATGTCTCCCAGTGTCCCTATATGTCCCAGTGTCCCCATGTCTATGCCCACAACTGTCCCCATGTCTCCCAGTGTCCCCAAGTGTCTGTCTTCCAGCCAGTGTCCCCATGTCTCCCAGTGTCCCATAGTCTCCCAGTGTCTGTGTTCCCATGTCTCTGTGTCCCTAGTGTCTTAGTGTCCCCAAATGTTGCAGTGTCCCCATGTCTCCCAGTGTCTGTGTCCCTGGTGTCTGTGTCCCCATTTCTCCCAGTTTCCCTAAATGTCTGTGTCCCCATGTCTCCGTGTCCCCGGGTCTCTGTGTCCCCATGTCTCACTGTGTCCCCAGTATCCTAGTGACATGGGGACACACTGAGACATGGGGACACACTGAGACACTGGGAGAAATGGGGACACTGAGACACTGGGAGACTAGGGGACTGGGCGACATGGGGACACTGACACTGTGATACATAGGGACACTGAGACACTGGGTGACTTGCGAGACTGAGACACTGGGAGCAATCCGTCTTTACAGCAGAATCAAACTGTGAGTAGTTTGTTGGTGATTTTACAGAATTTTCTCTGATGTCACTCCTTGTGATTATACAAATTATTAAGGCTGGTATTTTTTTCCAAGAAAGGTGGCAACCCTAACTACTCTTCACATACTCTTGCTTAAAGGAGCACTATAGGGTCAGGAACACAATCATGTATTTCTGACTCGATTATGTAAAAACCAACACCCTGGCCCCTTCTTGCCTCCCTAAGTATAGTAAAATATAACTTGTATTCAAGTCTGCAGCTGTTGGCTCTGCCTCTGAATTCACTGTCTGCTGATATCATCAGAAGTGGTGGTCTGAGCAAATTACAATACTTCCCCATAGGTTTGGCTGAGACTGTCAACTAGGCAGATCAGGGGCAGAGCCAGCACAAGTCTAACATTGCCCTGGCCAATCAGCATCTCCTCATAAAGATAAATTGAATCAATGTATCTCTATGAGGAAATTTCAGTGTCTGCATGCAGAGGATGGAGACACTGAATGGCAGTGCTGCACACTAGGCAGTACTGCCCCATGAAGCACCTCTAGCAGCCATCTAAGGAGTGGCCAGTGGAGTTATTTTCTCTGAAAAGACAGTGTTTACTGCAAAAGGCCTGAATGGAATGATTCTACTTACCAGAACAAATACAATAAGCTGTAGTTCTTCTGGTGACTATAGTGTCCCTTTAAGTTTGGAAGCTTAAGAGGGATGTATGGGAACAAAACTTGTGTGGACTAGCTGTCAATAAAATTAGTTTAGGTAATGCAGACGCTGGTCTCTCTAACACTGTGGCATGTCCCCTTTCTTCTACACTCACTACATACACTACACTCACTACAAACACTACACTCACTACATACACCTTTACTCTGTCTCAGACTATATACCAGGAACTTCTGCCTGCTAGTAAGAAGGTAAGGAGACAAGTGGACCAGCGTGTGCTAGGGGACAGTCCTTAGAAAGCATGGAGTGAGCGCATTATTAGATGCATTTATGTCAAGCTCATGGTGCTGCCTGCATAGTATGCCCTTAGTTGGACAGCCTGCAGGATTGGCGGGCAGCCTGACATGCATTCATGCCAGGCTGTCCTTCAAATTCTTTGGACAGACATGCCCCCTTTCTGGGCATGTTCACCCCTTTTGGCAGGTCTGGTCACGTGATTTGCACCAGTGGCACACCCTTTTACCTCGCCCATTGACTTCCTATTTCACTGGACACTGCTGTTAGGGGTTATGGATTTACTTGAAAGATGAAAACATAAATTAGAGAGAGATTAGCATAGAGTATGTGTTTTCATATAGCTGCATCCTTTGATTTTCCTTCTAACACCATCTCCATCAGATACATGACGCTTGGGAGGTATGACTGTTTTAGTGTTTTTGGTCGAGAAGATTCCGTAATTAGGCCCATCATATTTGTCAGCACCAGGCCCAGTATGCTCTTAATCCGGCCCTGACTATGCCCCTTATACACACACACACTCTCTACAGCCCCTAGACACACATATTACACCACAAACTAAATTGACCTTTTTACACAATACCACACCACAATCAGCTCACTCTACACACACACGCAGTCCCACAAGCAGGTTCCAAACACATGCACTATCCGCTTTCCTGGCCCTTTTTTCCTCTGGTATCCCACTTATGGAGACACCGGAGTCAAGTTAAAAGCAAACACAGCGGAAGCATGTTATTAAATTTGCTTGCGCTGCGCAGAACAAATACAGAGCCTTTTTCTCATGCTAGAGCTCTTCAGTGGGGCTATGCGCATTGAACCAACATGCTCACTTTGAGAGGGGGTGTGCTTGTCATTAGTCATGACAAAACACACCCTTTCTGACCCCGCTCCCTTCTCAGGGGGCCGCTGTGATTGAAAACTTCCCAGTCTGGCCCTGCCCACCAATATCAACCTATAATGTGAAAAATGCATTAGCTATATATTCTCCTAATAAATTGTGGGACTGGATGGCAACACAAGTAAGGCAACTGTGAGGATATGATGGTCACGTCTGGAGTCCTTGCTGAGATTACTCTGGGTAACGATGAGATAAAGATCAAAAAATATATATTCGACCTCTACCTTTATTCATTTACAAGTATTATAATCAATGTTGGTTTTTATTTTTTTCTAAAGTAAAAAAATCTAGAGGGAGTGTCACTTTTGCAGGATGTGCACAAGTAGTCCTCTGAAGGAATCAGGTCTGGAGGACACTTGATGAAGGGAGATTACATAACAATTACAGTATTAGAATAAAAAGCACAAACTGTAGCAGTTAAGGTAAACATATTTAATAATTTAATTATTTTAAATCATGATTAACAACAGGTCCAGTTGACACACACACAAAAAAAGAAATCACACATCGCAGAGAAATGAACAGAGAATATTTAATCACTAAACACTGAATTGTAATGATTTTAAAATGGAATGACAAAATTTAGTTAAAAATGGGTGTACTAATTACAGCTTGAGCACTCTCTAAAGTCGATTACTTAAGCTGATTGTATTACCTAACATTGTTCTAAAAATATGAGCAGTTAAACGACAACCTTTATACTTAAAAAAATTGTGCACTGTTATCGTATACCCCGTTGTTATAATGTACTGGAACTAGCGTGTAGAGTGCCGGTGGGGTACCACACGCATGTCTGTTCAAACCATATGCACTGCAAAAATAAAGAATTTTTTTAAAAATGGGTGCACTAACAAAAAATCTTTACCTCAGTTATTGTGACAGATTGGCTATTTTAGCTTACAGTTTACAATACCGTTTTCGGTTCAGTACAATTCAGCAATTATTGAATAAACTCCACAAATTATTATGCAGTGAAGAGTTTGAAAACGGAGGAAACCTGAAGACAAATGATAACATGTAGGACAGGGCTTGCTGTGTCCATGGGAGAACAGATAAAATACAGCCTGAAAATTATAAAACAGGAAATAAGCTACTATATTTATTTTGTATATTTCTATTGCAAATATTTCATTCAAAAATAGACCTTAACTGTAGGACATCATAGACGTAGCTAATAGCTACCGCATATACTCTTTACAATATTCTAAATGCAATGTATATCATTTATATACATACATATTATTATATACATAATATAATCTATAGGACAGACCAAAACAAGTTGTCTAAGGGACAATTTAAGCACCACAGCTACTACAGCTTTTTGCAGTGGCTATGGTGCAAAGGGTTGCCATCCTCTCCAATTTCTCATTTTGTTCAAGCAGTCAGACAAAAAACCAAAACAGAAAAATAGATATTTCCTAGCGCAGAGAGCTGCATAATTCATCCAAAGCAACCCAGCACTTGCAAAATATCATTGCCATTACTGGCTGGATGGCTAGACTGGACAATGTGGAAGCTTAATAGAGAAGGAGCTAGGTGTTTGTGTTTGAAAATGGTTTAAAACAAAACAGTGGGGATGGCACCCAAAAACTACTTGTACCATAACCACTGAAATCCACTGTAGTGGTTATGGTGCTTTGTGTGTCCCTTTAATAGCAAGCAACTTGCCAGTGTTCCATAAAACAAAAATATTAAGTTAACTAGCAATTTTAAATGTTATTTTTGTTCAAGAACGGAACAAATCTTGAGTACAACAATGAGCACATGTATGAATATAAAATATTTTATATAACGTGGTTGTGCACACATTTTACACAATGAAGAACTCTATAAACAAGCAGTGATTTCAGGAATGTGCTAACTAAACAAGGAAAACTGTAACATGTTCTGCATGCACCTGTATGTATTATTTAACCTCTATAGTTTACTGTTGCAGTTCATGGTGCAATGAAATGGCTCCTTTCTGGATTAGTCCACACTTTTACCTCCCTCCAACCTGAGTCTCAATTCTCAGGATGCAAGAGTTGGGAGGTATATATTAACACCCTTGATAAAGTTCTGAGCAAACACTTTTGGTTTTACTCACTAAACAATGAATAGCAGTGAGCTGAAAACCAAAGTAGCAAATTACAGCAAAAAATGCTATTTTGGACAAGTTCTGCTTTTCAAGTTTTTGTCACAGCTTTGCTATTTTAGCCCAAATATTACATTTCTCAATAACTCTGTGTTTAAAGGGACACTCTAAGCACCGAAACAACTTTCGCTTGGCAGTCCCCTCTTATCCCATCAAATGATTCTCATAAAGAAGCCAAGAAGCATATGTGCAGCGAGTGCTGCACTCATACAATCAAATGCTTCTTATAGGGAAGCGTTGTATCCAATGCTTTCCAATGATAGTGTTTGAGGACATTCTATGTCTTTGTGCAATGCTTGAGCATGTTGAAGGTCACAAGGACATTTCTGAGTCAGGTGTTGCAGTGGAAGCACCCTCTAGTGGCTGTCAGCAAGACTGCCACTCTTGTTGTGTTTATCTCAGCATTGAAACATTGCCTTATGTACAAAACAGCAATGTTTTACATTGCAGAATTAAAATGACAGGGTCACTGCACACAGCCCACTTCATCTCAATGAAGTGGTCTGGGTGAATTTAGTGGTCTTTGATAGGTACACTATATGCACCCAGCCTCATTTATCTCAAAAAAATGACTTAGGTGCCATGTCCCGGTAGATTTAACCCAGCATCTGAAAACATTGCCTTTCTGCAGGAACTACGTTTGCAATGACCATAGTAGCTGTCACTCTGACACACAGTAGAGGCGCTTTATTTAAATAGCCAAGTGCAAGCCCACCAGCTTACCAATGCTTTTCTATGGGATGATCTTAACAAAGGAGGCAAACCAGCAGTGGAGAAAGCACCGAGACATGGGATAAAAGGTAAGTTAATGAAACCTTTTGTTACTTACAAGGGCCGGACAGCTACACAGTGAGCAGGACTCTATGACATTACAAATACATGTTTGTATTCCTACACTATAGTTTTCCTTTTAATCATATTATTGTTTGAAGTATATAATAAAAAAAAAAAATATATATATATATATATCAAATGCCATTGCAAGCCTATAGGGTCATTGGCACACTAACCAAGAGTGAATTTATACTCATCAGGGCTGACTTTTCACTCTCGAAGGCAATAATGGGATATTTCTCAACATTTCAGTTAATGTCAACTTTCGTCAGGAGAAGCTGTTTATGCACAAATATGTTATGTATACAACATTCCATTTACATAGAGAAAAATAAATTACCACTAACCGCAAATGTTGAAACTATGTCTACCTGATTGTATGAATGTGAATAAAAACAAAAAACATACCCTGAAAGTAAGTTTTGTCATGTCAAACATCAATATGCCATAGCAATCTACCATGCATATTAGCTGAAAGATCTGAGTATCTCAACACCTTGACCTAAAACCTAACTTTGATATTGCAAACGCAAATATATTGCAAAAATGTTCTATTAATAAAATGTTAAAAAATTACAATTAAAATGAAATTTGGCAGGTATTTGTGATGAATGGACTCGAAATGTCATGCCATGATGGAATAAAGTTCAGTTGAGGCTGCAATTTTGTCCAACAGTAAGTTGAATCCTTTACATCTTCCAGTGAAAATTGTAAAACATTTCTGTAATTTGATCATTTAGCATCCTAAAAATCTGGAAATGGTCTACATGAGGATAATTGCTGTACTCAGTGTTAAGTAGCAGCTAATTCTGGAGTATACAAAGAAAGCCCTATTTGTCCTTTGAAAGACCACTGTAATCACCCAGACCACTTCATCTTCATGTAGTAATTTTTAACTGCAATGTTTTCATTGTGGGGTTCACCTCACCTCTCCTCTCTTGACAGCCAACAGACATTGCTTCTGCAGTGAGAACCAAGTCTGACTTGGTTCGTGGTTAATAGAAGCATTTGGCTGTCCTGATTGGTGACCTGATTACCTCAGAGAAGGCGGATCGGGCTGCTCATAATTGGCTGCTTCAGCTCTAAATTGCAGGTAAGTAAATGGTTAATTTAACAATTTTTTTAATGAAAAATGGGGGGAGGATTCCAGAAATCTAATATAATCTTCCTTTTAAAAACTATATATAGTATGTAGAGGGGCACCTCAAGAGAAAGTATAAACTTATGGTGGAACGAACACACAGCAAAAGTGCCATGAAAGCCGTAGTCATAAACGCATATAATCTTTGTGAACATTGTTTTAGTGTTACAGAGGTGGTAATGGGTGCTTTACTTTTCCCATATTGAGGTGGTAATGGGTGCTTTACTTTTCCCAAATTGCATATTTATACACACAGTTGTCCTGATGAAAGCTTGCATTAACTGAAATATTGACGATTAACCAAGCTGAATTTTAGTTTACAAAGAGTGCAATTCTTTGCATCACGTACATGCATGTTAAGGTAGTGTATTCATAAGTGGTTAGTTTTATAGTAGTGTAGAGGTTAATGGACAACATCACCATCCATATAATGATTGAAAATATGATCTCAAGATTAAATAATGCTTCTGTGTGTTTGTAGGCATTGCACATTATTCTCCACGTGATTATGATGATGATGTTGCTCTATGGCGATCAAGACAGTAATGCAAAATAAATAAATTAGTTTGCCAGTTTGATAGTGAACATGCATATACAAAATAAATGTATTTACATTTTCTGGTAAAAAAAAAAAAAGAAAATGTCTTGGCACACAGGGTTCAGTCCTTAGCAGACTTTATTAGAGATCAACGTAAGCAATGCTTTGGCTCAGCTATTGGCATGAGAAAGGCTCACTTGCAGACACGAAATGTTACTTACTTTAGACTAAAAATCTGCTGATGACTAAACCCTGTGGGTCCAGACCATTTCTTGCTTGTTTGGACTGAATGTAGATTTACCTCCCTGGCGGCACTGTGGTCATATCGCTTCTTATGACATGTGTGGTCTCATATGGAATCATTTACATTTTCTAGTTTCACTAAATTGAACCAAATAAGACGAGCATTCTGTTAAAAGTTTATAGTTAATTAGAAAATATAAATTTAAGATCATTTTAGAAATTAGGCTGGAAACAGTATTATGCTATAATTTTATAGTAATGTGTTAGAACTAAGTTACATTTAAATTAAATTGAAAAGATAACTATGATTTGACAAATTGAGGCTTCACATTATTAGATATACACCTGTGCACACCATCAGTACATGTCCTTATATATCTCCTGAAGTAGTGGATGCAGAGATGCACTAGTCTCTGTGCGTTTGATACTCTGGACAAGCTCTGCATGTTCTGTCACAAGCTGACGCAAGTCAGCCATCTTATGCAACAGCTTGGGGAAAAGGAATGGAGCGTCTGGATGAGATGTTTGCAGGTGAACTCTGAGAGCACTAAGAATTCCCTCCTGGATATCTTCTACATGCGATGGATTCATGAGTCCAGGTCGATCTGCAGAGGAAAAAAAAAACAGACACAAAAATGATGAAAGAAGAACAAATATAAAATAAGAAGAAAAACAAACAATATGAGAAAAGGTTAGCTCGAGATACAGTTGGAAAAAATGTCAAAAGCAGTGATTACACAAAAGCAGATAGATAAACACAAAAAAATTATGTATAAAAAAAATTATTTGAATCCTTAAACGTATCAACGTTGACTTTAATAGGATTATTCACTAAATTGAGAACTATCAATGTGAATTTAAAATGTAAGGCCAAACTAGCCAAACATCTCTTAATTACCTATGCTACCTGTTGGATTTAAATTTGAAATTCACGTCGAATTCACTCTGAATTTCTCACAATGCTCAATTAAGTGAATAACCTATTAAATGTTCCAACTTAAATTGTTTATTCGTCTATATTTATAACCATATTAATTATATTTCTGCCGTGTCTGCGTTTTTGCATAATGCGGTTTTTCATACTGTAGGCAGTGCTAGCATATGCCTACATATACAAATGATTAATTAGTGTATGTATGTGCATGAAGGGGAGTTTGTATATAGTGTAATTGGGGTATAATTATCAAAGTATTCTGACAAATGGTGCAAAATAATAAAAGTGCTGCAATCACCATGGAAACCAGTGGAACATGCAGGCACATCCTGTTGGTGTCTCTTCCATTTTTACATCTTTGCACCACTTTTCAGAATACATATTCTTAATATCTGACTGTGCTTAAATTTAGGTAATTAGTAATGTATACAGCAGTAGGGATAGCTAATACCAGCACACACCCAGCCATGTTGACAAGATACATGACAAGAGGGTACACACATGGACTGAAATAACCTAGAAAAATTGTGCTTGCCTGTACATCATGTGAGTTTTTGTCCCACTTCTGGGAAGAATAAAAAAACAGAGCTACAGAATAGTTTACTTTTATGGTCTCCCAAGCTACTTGGATTTGTCAAGTCTGCTAATAATAGGAGATGTTGAAGATCACATGAGAAATTGCTAAACATTTCTTAGTACCCATGTATACTATACTCCTAGGGCGGACAACCTTCCACACTCCTTTAAAGCTCTTACAGAAATTATGCTGGCAAAACATCAGGGGAGATGTAGTCCACAACTACATCTCCCAAAGGTTGTCTACCCTCCTTAAACATCTTCCTACATTAGTGCATTTTCTTATGTAATGTTTTAACTTGTTCCTGATGTTATTTTAACACCATTAGGATGGCACGTCCTAAAACTTTAGAATGAGCAGTGTTATATCCCCAGACTGACCGGAGACCTGTGTGCTTTGCTAAAAATGAGCTCTGCATAAAGTCCAATAACTCCATTGACAACACAGTGGCTGAACAATCACGCTCAGGCGCAGTGATTCTAGGGCTGCAGGCTTCTGAAGGGAGACCCTTATTGTCTGAACAGACACTGACAGTCTCCCTACAAGTCCCAATCACAGTATGATCTGCTGGGAAAGCATGCTTGATTCAGTATTATAGGGAAATCTTCCTGTAATGCTAAAAACAGACAGTAGATGGCAGTAACATAACACTATAATGTTTTAAAGGCACACTATAGGCACCCAGACCACTTTAGCTCATTGAAGTGGTCTGGGTGCAGTGTCCCTATTGTTCCTTAGAAACTGCAATGTTTACATTGTAGCACTAAGTCTGCCTCCAGTGGCTATCTCCCAGACAGCCACTGAAGGTCCTTCCTAGATCCAAATGGACCTTTCGTCTAGTAACTGATGCTGGATGTCCTCATGCTCTGCATGAGGGTAAGGGGTAAGCACCTAAACCTCAATAAAAGTGGGCTGGGTGTCTTGTCATTGTCTTTTTAACCCTGCACCTGAAAACAATGGCGTTTTGCAGGAATAGCAGTGTTTACATTATAGGGTTTAAGTGCCTCTAGTTGTTGTCACTTTACAGCCACCACAGGTGCTTCTGACTAAATGTCGAGTGAAACTTTGGACATGTTTGTAATCCTAACGCTATAGTGTTCCTTTAAGTTACAGTGGAACAAACACATAGCACAAATTCTAGGTTTTGTTTAGGTTCAGAGCTTGGACAATTATCTCCTTAAGGGGTTAAACAGTGAAATAACTGAATTGTAAAATTGAGTACCAAAATAGCAGTGTTTTTAAAAGTCTTTAACTCATCTATTCTGTGTTAAATATGGCAATTTACCACTATTTGAGGTGTGGCAAATAAACATCACACATTACACAACACATATCCATATCTAAATATAGATGTATAAAATATATTTAGTAGTTTTACACTGTTTTAGTGGTTATTTATGTCATCTATGTTGCTTTTGCTCTTTTAAAGGAAATATCACTTGGTTGACATGGGGCCTACAAACCACAATGCAAAGATATAATGCTAGATAGGCAGAGAATTTTAACAGGTGTTTTTAGTATAGATCCCAACCCAGATTTTGTCTCGAGAACATGTTAGTGTGGCAATGCTATTATTAATGTTGCCTTTATCATACTATATATGTTGAAAGCCTCTTCTCGGGAGGTGTAAGAGTAATAAGTAATCACGATTTATAGGGAAAACATGGTTCTAGCACTTACTTTACTACAATAGACAATTGGACTTAAACGTTGGGTGGGGGAATAATAGATCTCCTTTTGTTTCTCCTTCCTAAAGGAAAGCATAGGGTATTTCCTCACAGTATCTGGTTATCATCAAGCATAAATATTGAGGATACAACTATACCCGGAATGCAATATAATAGACAAGACAGAAAGATGACCAGGACTTTTTTCAGATATTGTTAAAGGAAGTAGAAAACACAAACAGAACATAAAAAAGATAAATTACTAGGGAATTTTAAAAAAATTAAGATTTTGCATAAATAGAGACTTTGGATTAGGTTAAAAAATGTAAATGGGTGTACAGAGATGAAAAGAAAAGAATAGTAAGAAAAAAATAGGGTCTCTAACCACCGCATAGGATAATGGCTGCAACAAAGAGTGCCAAATCACTGTCATTAAGCTCCAGTGCATTGAACTTGGAGGCGAAGTGGAACTTGGGCTCCATGATGTGACAAAATGGATGGCGAAGGCTGCGCAGGAACTCACGAGTAACAAACCCACGTCCCCCTGCCACCAAAAGTCCATCTTTGTTCATAAGCGAGGCCAACATGCAAAAGATAGCCTCATGGACCCCATACTTCAACAACGTGACCTGGTCATTGAGGTAGAGTGTGTTGAAACCTGGAACACTCTTGGCAAATTCAGTGAGGGCACGTACAGTCTCCACAGAAGTGCATTGGCAGCGATAAAAGACATGGACTCCAATTTCAGTTCCTGAGGGATCCTGCATAGGCAATTGCTCCCACAAAATTCCTTGTTCTGCTTGCCACAGGGTGTCCATGTCATGTATAACAAAAGGCTAAAACAGACAAAGAACAAAGTATTATAAATTATATTATAAATCAAAGCCATCATAAAAATAAAAATTTGGTAAACACGTTTCTTAAATGCTTATTCCAACCACAAGCTAGTGTTTTCATAAAACCCTAGTTTTGGTTAGAGTACCCCTTTCTCCCTTTCTGTGGTGGTCTGCCACAGACCCCCCACTTAAACAAAATAATAAATAAATAAATAAAGCTCACTCGTTCAACTGCTGAGTCCAATTTTGCACTGCAGCCTGATCCTCCTTGTCAGATGTGAGCTTCAGCAAGAGCACTAGTATGCTGGAGTAAGAAGTTTTCAAAGAATTACCATTAACCAGCCAGGAACTTTGCTCTAGGCTCACTAATGAAGCTGTTGAAGGATGAGTTTCACCTCTGACAGCTAAGTGGATAATCTTTGAATGTGCAGCATTAAAAAAAAACCAAAAAAAAACAGAAACATACAAACTCCAACCATCATGACCATGTCAAATCAACAAAGTGGTCATGGTACTTGCAGTAACCTTTTAATTGGAACATTCCCCCAAAATAAGTTAAAATATAGTCATACATCAAGAAGACAGCATTAGCATCCCAAAATACTAAAAGAAAATTTAAAAAATCCACAATATACTAAATATACTAATTATAACATAAGATGTTTATCAATATACAAAAAAAGAGTTTCCTTTCTTGGAATGTGAAAGCCAACAAGTTGTAATGTATGGCATAAAGTCCCTCCCAAACGGAGGGTAGAAAAACCACTAATGCAACACTTCACTCGCTCAACCCATTTTAGCCTGTACTACATGTGTCTCAGTTCTGTTTATTTTCCCAGGAAGAAAATGGATTAGTTAAAGTTCTGACTAAAGTGAGAAGATTTCTTTTATTTTTTGACAAGCCTGAAATTTAGCCTCCTGGACAACATGCAGAATTCATTACTTCTGGCCTTTCAGTAAGACCTCTTAATTAAGCTTCCTTGAGTTGACACCTATTAGAAATTGAGTTTCAGAAAAAAGGATCATATATCCTCTTGGCTTAACGCACTCTGTGGCCCTTCAGAGTTCCAGATTCTATGTTTGTGTATATCATTGGCACTTTGTCCAGTGTAAGGTGTGAAGGAGTAACACTGCAGGTGTGGAATACCATTGTATTTTTTATTAATCCTATTTCCATTTTTTTAGTCTCTAAGTCGGAAAACATTTTTGTGATGTTTCCCCATTAAGAGCCTCACAGTTCCTGCTTTAGAATCTGTTTGTCTGCCTATTGTACATGTCTGCTTCTCCTGCTAAGGCAAAAAAAAAAATTTTTTGGTATTGCATGTGATCACCAATTTTGTGGCAACCAGCTCAGGCAGACATGAGACCCAGTGTTTGAAAGTGTAGACTCTAGGAGGTGCAGAATGGGGATCTTGGTGGCAGATAAGGCCTATTACCCCTACACCACCATTTAGGAAATGCCATTGCCTCTGAGTGGGCTTCTTGTATAATGAGGAGGGATCTACATCTAAAAACAGATTAAGAGCAGAAAACAAAGCTTGCCATGATACAGGTGATACTTGAAAAATTATAATATCATGCAAAAGTTCATTTATTTCAGTAATGCAACATAAAAGGGGAAACTAATATATGAGGTAGACGCATTACATGCAAAGCAATATAGTTCAAGCCGTGATTTGTCATAAGTGCAATGATTATGGCCTACAGCTCATGAAAACCCCAAATCCACAATCTCAGTAAATTAGAATATTGTGAAAAGGTGCAAAATTCTAGGCTCACAGTGTCCCACTATAATAAGCCATAACACCTGCAAAGGGTTTCTGAGCCTTTGAATGGTCTCTCAATTCTGTGAATATATTACGTCTGTCACCAGAACACACTGCATGTAGGCAACATAATGACAGATATAATCTACTTGTGTCCCCCTCCTTCCGACCTCCCTATACTGCCCGCTACATTTCCCTCCCTGTCTCTCTCTTCACTACCTGGATCAGAACATGCGCATGCACTCTGAGCCGGCTAAACGGGTCAGAGTGCATGCGTATGTTCTCTATGAGAAGTCTTTGTTTAGACCGTGCAACTACAGGAGTGACATCAGGTGAAGACATGGAAAGCAGAGCCAGATGGTTCGCTGCATTTCCGGTAAGAAAACATTTATTTTATAAGTCATTTGTAGTGTGGGAGGGGGGACCTAAAGGATAATAACATTTTTTTCCAGTTATAAGGGTTGGAGTAACCCTTAAGTTCTAACAAGTAGCATGGGACTTTTAGAAATTTTAAGAGTTGGTTTAAAGGAAAGGAAGTTAATCAATGAAGCATTGAACAAAAATAGTACCTAAACATTTCATTCAGTAAGCGAAATATCTTAATTTAATGAACAACAATTCTAGAGCATAATCTTTTACTTCTTACTGGACAAATATATTTTGGATTTAGAAGCTGCAGTTATTTTAAAGTTTTGTTTTCTCACCGAGATGCTACTTCTGCCAGTCAAAATGTCCCGTGCTTTCTTTTTTGTCATGGAAAACGTTTGCATATATGACGAGTGGATCTGTTGTGAAAGGGCCACAGTGTCTGACACCGGAGAATCTGTAGATCCTGCTTCAGTTGGTGGGGTCTGAACAAGGCGTCTTTTCTCTGCTTCTGGCATTCGACCAAATCGGATTGCTGTCATGGAATCAATAAAAAATTTTATCAGTTGAGCATCATGACAAAGTATGATCTCCTATCATCCTAGTATTCTGAAATATTTCCCTGCTGCACAGCCAATTTCCATTCTAGTGTAACCCTAATGGTTTAAAGAATGTTTGTGAAAAATGATCTCTGTAATGCATCTCCTAATATGTGTTATGTTTGTTTATTTTAGGTTCCACTCATAAAAGTTGGTCTAAATATTGACCAAGAAACAAAGACATTATTATTATTTTATTATTTATATAGCGCCATCAGATTCCGTAGAGCTGTACAATGGGTGGACTAACAGACATGTAATTGTAACCAGACAACTGGACGTACAGGAACAGAGAGATGGAGGGCCCTGCTCAATTAACTCATAACCAACAACATTACTGACTAGATCTCACACTGAGACAGTGTAATTTGTTTTAAATAACAAACATTCAAATCCATTTTGAAGTTTAATGAGACCTAAAACACATAAATCCAACACTCGGCATGCTTTTTTTAATTAATCATATTTATTTCTTTATGTCTCCTTGATTTTAATTCTGAAATTCAACCTAAATTGAGAAATTAGGGAATTAAGTTTTCTAATGTAGAGCATGATCTTTGACAATGGACAGAGCTTAAGGAACACAATAGGGTTAGGGATACAAAACTGTATTCCTAACACTATTGTGTCCCTCTGCACCTGCGGTGCCCCCCGCTATCCCTGGTGGCAAATAAAGCGTTAACATGCCTTTTTTCACTTACCTGCTTCCAGCACTGATGCCCCTCGGTGCTGGGTCAGGTTTGTCCTCTGCCGACATCACAGCGTTTCAAAAACCTAATTCACATGTGCGTGCATTAGGCCTTCCCCATAGGAAAAAGTGCTGCGTAATTTCATTTAGTAAAACTCTGTGAAACACCAGGAAGTGCATCTAGTGGCTGTCTGTTACCTAACCGCTAAAGGAGGAGACAACTCTGCAATATTTCTCAGGAACTGCATTAATTACCATTGCAGGGTTAAGGGGACAGGAGCACTGCACTAAACAACTTTAAGGAGATGAAGTGGTTTGGGTCGGGAACAAACATAACCTAAGGGCATTTGATAGTATGTGGCCTCATATTCATGCAGTGCTTTTCTTCACATTCAAATTTAATTGCATTTCCCTATACCTGTGCCAAAAGGAACTTTAAAGTATTATTAGATTATTACTCTCAACACATATTTAGAAGGTGACCTGCTGACATCATGTCACCCTTAGCTTATCATTGTGCTCTAATTATTTGTTTCTTTTCCCTTATTGCAGCTTGGAAATACTATACAGATAATTTAGAGGACAGTGAGTACACACTGATCTCTTATTGATTTGTATTAATTGTAAAAGAGAGAGCATTGCGAAAAGCTACAGGGTTATGCAGGCTAGTAAACATAGCATGAGTAGGAGGCCAAAACCAAAATGCACTTAAATAAACACTATAATGTCAGGAATACAAAAATGTATTCCTAACACTATAGGTATAAAATAGCGGTTTAGGACCCCAGCCCCCTCTTATTCCCGTTAAAAATATGTTAAGCTCACCTTTTTTCCAGCTCTGCGCAAGTCTCCTAACGGCTTGCCATGCCCCATCTCCTTGGCAAAGATGATTAAATTTGATGATCTCAGGCAATCCAATGCTCTTCCCTAGGAAAGCAATAGGAGGCTATTGCGGTGTGCCACACCAATCAGCATCTCCTCATAGAGATGCATTGAATCAGTGACGCTGAACGTTGGTGCTACACGTTGTACAGAATGACACAGGAAGTACTTCTAATGGCTGTCTGACTGACTGCCACAAGATGAGTTCCTAGGCAGTAATGTAAACACTATCTTCTCTGAAAAGACAGTGTTTACATTAAAAGGCCTGCAGGGACGGGCTATAGACACCAGAACAACTCCATTAAGCTGTAGTTGTTCTGATGACTATAGTGTCCCTTTAGTTTATGCTAGTAATTATAGTGTTCCTTTAAGCTAGATTGAAGGTGTAAATGTAATTTACCCACAACGCATCAGTCATAAAAATCCCACAAATGCAATCCATGGAGGGATACCTGGAGTCCAAATCTCAATCTCCTTGAGTTGTAACTGGATTCACCTTTGGTTCTTGGTCTTTGGTTCTGCTCTCTTTTCTATTCTTTCTCTAATCTTTACCTTTTTTGTCTCTTTTTTTCTTTCTTTCTTTATTTGTTCTTTAGCTCTCTCTCTTTGAATCTGATAATATATCCTATAATGTTCACTGGAATTGTGTTTTCTCTTTGGTTATTTTTGGTGGTGTCTCATGCTTTGGAGTCTGGTGGCATTTTTTACTTTATAACGTTACAAATTCAAGGTTCTGAATATAATCATTAAGATACAAGGGAAAGGCATAAGGAAAGTTATAAATAAATTAATGTCAGTGTTGCTTTAATTGATACTTGGATAACAATCGTTATAGTTCAATGCCTTGTTATCCTTACTTTTCTACTTTTATTCTACCTGCTTTTTTTTTATCAATTACATACTTTAAAGTTTAGCAATACTCCCTTATAATTATAAATTATTAGCTACAATGCTGTTTTTTTCACCTATACAAGGAGATTAAACCCATATACAAAATATCTAATTCCTATACAGCCTCACTGCTGATTGAGGGCCTCCCAACTGTCCCGATTTCGTCAAGACTCTCCTGATTTTTGGGTCCTGTCCCGCATCATTAGAAGCGATTGTACTATGTTCAGGGCACTAGGACTCTGCAAGGAAAACTGAAACAGTGCTTCCTGCAGAGTCTGATCTCAGAGGGCTGGCCTGGCTGATTGGCAGTTAGCTGACCTTCCAGTAATTTGGGTGGGCCTGCCTTCTTTGGGTGAAGCCAGGGAGCCTCCTTTACTCCCCTTCCACTGGCATCCAGAAAATTGGGGTTGGGAGGTATGTGATTGTGTGGTTACCTTCATTTTACAAAATGTATCTTGTCAAGCTCACCATTGTGGGACATGCCAAGGCTCAGGCACTTGTTAAATCTACAAAACTGACACTTGTTTCGATTCTTCTTTTTGATCTTGCAGTTACGGTCACAGTACTCATACTGTAGTCTCATCCGGAGGGTCCGCCTAAAGAAGCCCTGTGGAGTGCAGATCGGTACACATAGTTACATTTAACTATTTAACTTATCTAGAGCAAAATCAAATGTAGTTCAGTTTTTAGAAAACCTAAATATAGTCGTGTAATTTACAGTCACTGAAGCAATGAATTCATACAGAAAATATTAAAATCCCTGCTCATGAAAATTAATTACCTCTTATAAATAATGCATCTTGATATCTCAAAAGCATGAAATTTGAAACAGAAGCAGTCAGATACATTTGCATAGACACTTGGAGCACCCATATTTTATTTTTTACTTCACATACTCATAAAATTAGCAGCTATGTTTTCAAATCAAAAAGTAGGCTCATATTGATTTTTGTACCTTACAACCCTCACAGGCATGTACCCCATAATGGAACCCCGACGCTCTGTCGCCACAGATTTTGCAGTCCACTCTTTGTGCAGCTTCCTGTTGCTCCTGTGAACTGGAAAGCAGCTCATCTGAGGATGGAGAGTGAAGTGGAAGATCTAGATGGATGGGATTGAGATGGACAGTTAGAAAATTGTCTATAACACACACACTAACACTTTCACAACGTTATAGGTTTGCTTCTTTAAACATAACTCAAAGGGACACTATAGTCACCAGAACAACTACAATTTCAGAGAAAAGGCAGTGTTTACATTGCCCCCTAGGGACACCTCCAGTTGCCACTCCTCAGATGGCCACTGGAGGTGCTTCCTGAAGCAGTGCTGCACACTGCCATTCAGAATCTCCACAATTTATTGCATTTCTATGAGGAGGTGCTGATTGGCCAAAATTACATTTGGCCACGCCCCATCCCGCCTCCTTGCCGATTCCTGCCAGTCCAATGCTTTCCCTATGGTGATGTCCCTATGATGTCAGTACGGAGGTGGATCGGGGGCGCAGAAAATAATGTAAGTATTCGCAACTTTTAAGAGGGTTAAAGGGAGAGGGACAAGCCACCTAAATGGTAGCTTTAACACTATATGGTGAGGAATACACGTTTGTGTTCCTGACCCTATAGTGTTCTTTTAATGTAACATCTCCAAGGAATTTAGTGAAAACTACATTATACATTACTTACTTCCTACACCGGTCAGAAGACCGCTTAAGGGACAATATAGGCACATAGAACACTTCCTCTCATTGAAGTGGTTTAGATGCAGTGTCCCCGTAATTGCCCAGAATTTACATTGGGCAGTCTGGGTTTCTGGTCTGCCCATGACACATGAGGCAACTTGCCTCTGGCACATCATTTCCAATATCTCTGGATGTGCAGTGTTTGCAACTGAAACACTTCACATTCAGGCTCCTACCACCATGGCCACTTCATATCACTTAAGTGGTCATGGTGGTTAGAGTAACCCTTTAAGGAGCTAAATGTGGAAATAAATTAACTTTTGTTATTAATCTTTCTGGATTCTTTACTTTCAAGAATTGTACCGGAGGATTGGAGAAAGGCAGGTGTTGTTCCTGTATTCAAAAAGCACGTTCACAATCTTGGCCTGGAAATTCTAGGCCTGTGAGCTCAACTTTTGTCACTGGAAAAGTATTTGAAGTGTTATTAAGGGATAATATTCAGGAATTCCTTGGGAGAAGCAATGTTATTAGCAATAATCAGCATGGTTTTATGAAACATAAGTCATGTCAATCTAACTTAATTGCATTCTGTGAATAAGTAAGTAGAAGTATAGATCAGGGTGTTGGAGTGGATGTGATCTACTTTGATTTTGTCAAGGTGTTTGCTATGGTTTCACACAATAGGCTAATTTTCAAACTAAAAGAAATTGGTATAGATGAAAATTCTTGTAGAACATTGGCGTAAGGGACACTATCGTCACCAGAACAACTACTACTAATGTAGTTGTTCTAGTGAGTATAATAGCTCCCTTAAGGCATTTTCATGTAAACACTGCCTTTTCAGAGAAAAGGCAGTGTTTACATTGCCCCTAGGGACACCTCCAAGTGGCCACTCCTCAGATGGCCACTGGAGGGGCTTCCTGGCTCATGGCTGCACAGTAAGCAGCCCTGTCGTTCAGCGTCCCCACGCTCTGCATGGAGACGGTGAATTTTCCTCATGCAGATACATTGATTCAATGCATCTCTATGAGGAGGTCCTGATGGGCCAAAACGGCATTTGGTCCTGCCCCAGTGCCGATTTTTAGCCAATCCAATGCTTTTCAAATTGGTTTGGTAAAAAATCAACCATTTTGATTATGTCATAAAGGGGGCGGAGCCAGCGCCGGCAGACCCGCGCGGAGCTGGAAATAAGGTGAGTTTTTAACTTTTAAGGGGGGCTGAGGGAGGGCAAGCCACCTAAATTGTGTGTTTAGCACTAAAGGGTCAGGAATAAATGTTTGTGTTCCTGACCCTATAGTGATCCTTTACAGAGAGTTGTAATTAACTGTACATTTGTAAACTGGACAAAAGTGGTAAGTGGTGTCCCTCAGAGTCCTGTTCTGGGACCGGTTCTATTTAACATGTTTATAAATGATCTTGAAATAGGCATTGAAAGTCATGTTTCAGTGTTTGCAGATGACACAAAAATCTCTAAAGTAATACGTAATATTAGCAGGATAGTACTTTGCTGCTTACGGATATAGATAGATTGGGGGGACTAGGCACTCAAATGGCAGATGAAAGAATACGCAAGCAACTTACACCCAACATGGTAGTGAATTTGGGAACTGGTATATACAACAAACTATGCAACAATATGCAATATAAATCAGCAGTGGCCAGTAAGGTATTGTCATGTATAAAAAGGGGCATTAATTCTCAGGATGAAAATATAAATTTGCTTCTTTATTGATCACTGATATGACCACACTTTGAATATGCTGTGCAATTGTGGGCACCTTTATTAAAGAAGAGTATAATAGCATTAGAAGTGCAGAGGCAGGCTACTAAATTAATAAAAGGAATGGAACATTTTTTTTATGAAGGAAAGTTAACATTATAAAGATGTTTAGTTCATAAATACTAGGGATCGACCGATATTGATTTTTTAGAGCCGATACCGATACCGATAATCTGTGAACTTTCAGGCCGATAGCCGATAACTTGCCAATATTCTTTACATTAACCATTTTGAAAAAATAAACTAATCCTAAAGGTAAATGCACAAAATATACATGCCACATGTAGTGGATGAAGTGTGTTTAGACAGGGGAGCTATGTGTGTGTTTGTGTAGTGTGTATAGTGGATGCAGAGTGTGTTTGTGTAGTGTGTATAGTGAATGCAGTGAGTATTTGTGTAGTGTGTATATATAGTGAATGCAGTCTGTGTGTGTGTGTGTTTGTGTAGTGTGTATAATGAATGCAGTGTGTGTTTGTGTACTGTGTATAGTGAATGCAGAGTGTGTGTTTGTGTAGTGTGTATAGTGAATGCAGAGTGTGTGTTTGTGTAGTGTGTATAGTGAATGCAGTGTGTATATAATGCAGTGTGTATGTTTGTGTAATGTGTATATAATGCAGTTTGTGTAGTGTGTGTATGTAATGTAGTGTGTGTGTGTATGTAATGCAGTGTGTGTTTGTGTAGTGTGTGTGTATGTAATGCAGTGTGTGTGTGTGTGTTTGTGTAGTGTGTGTATGTAATGCAGTGTGTGTTTGTGTTATGTGTGTGTGTGTTTGTGTAGTGTGTGTGTTTGTGTAGTGTGTGTGTGTAATGCAGTGTGTATGTAATGCAGTGTGTGTGTTTGTGTAGTGTGTGTGTGTGTAATGCAGTGTGCGTGTGTTTGTGTAGTGTGTATATGTAATTTGTGTTAAATGGCGTTTTTTTTGTTTTTTTAGTCCCCCCTCCATGCTTCTTACCAGGGAGGTGGGCTATGGCATTCCCTGGTGGTCCGGTGGCTTGTTAAAGGACCACTATAGTGCCAGGAAAACATACTCGTTTTCCTGGCACTATAGTGCCCTGAGGGTGCCCCCACCCTCAGGGACCCCCTCCCGCCGGGCTCTGGAGAGAGGAAGGGGTTAAACACTTACCTTTCTCCAGCGCCGGGCGGGGAGCTGTACTCCTCCTCTCCTCCTTGCTCGCGGACGTCATCGGCTGAAATGCGCACGCGCATTCAGCCGGTCGCATAGGAAAGCATTTACAATGCTTTCCTATGGACGCTTGCGTGCTCTCACTGTGATTTTCACAGTGAGAAGCACGCAAGCGCCTCTAGCGGCTGTCAATGAGACAGCCACTAGAGGCTGGATTAACCCTCAGTATAAACATAGCAGTTTCTCTGAAACTGCTATGTTTATAAAAAAAAAGGGTTAATCCTAGAGTTACCTGGCACCCAGACCACTTCATGAAGCTGAAGTGGTCTGGGTGCCTAGAGTAGTCCTTTAAGTACTGGGGGGGCCAGCAGCAAGCGCTGACTTACCTTGCCAGCAGCTCCTCCAGCTCCCCAGTGTAAATCTCGCGGCCTTTAGTGCCGCGTGGAGCGTTACCATGGTAACCCGTGGCAACGGTCTGACGGCCGCTGGTCTCGCGAGAGTTACATTGGGGAGCTGGAGGAGCTGCTGGCAAGGTAAGTCAGCGCTTGCTGTTGGCCCCCCCGAGGACCGCCGGGCTTGTAATGAGCCCGGCAGTCCTAGGAGGTATTATCGGCATCTATATTGGCAGATACCGATATTGCCGAAAATACCGAATATCGGCCGATTATATCGGTAAAACCGATAATCGGTCGATCCCTAATAAATACGGCACCTTAGAGGGAATATGAATATATGTATATTTGGGGCCAATACGAACCATTGTCTTGAAATCTATTCATGAACAGGACTATACATAGGACACAAGGTCATGCATTTAGACTGGAAGAAAGGCAAAGGAAAGGGTTTCTTACAGTAAGAACAACAAGGATGTGGAATTGTCTGCCTGAAGAGGTGGTTTTATCGGAGTCTGTACAGGTGTTTAAAGGACCACTATAGGCACCCAGACCACTTCAGCTTAATGAAGTGGTCTGGGTGCCAGGTCCATCTAAGATTAAACCTTTCTTCTATAAACATAGCAGTTTCAGAGAAACTGCTATGTTTATAAATGGGTTAATCCAGCCTCTAGTGGCTGTCCCGTTGACAGCCGCTAGAGGCGCTTCCGCGCTTCTCACTGTGATTTTCACAGTGAGAAGATGCCAGCGTCTATAGAAAAGCATTGTGAATGCTTTCCTATGAGACTGGCTGAATGCGCGCGCGACTCGTGCCGCGCATGCACATTCAGCCGAGGAGGAGAGTTCCCCGCCCGGCGCTGGAGAAAGAGGTAAGTTTAATCCCTTCCTCCCCCTTCAGCGCAGCGGGAGTGGGACCCTGAGGGTGGGGGCACCCTAAGTGCACTTTAGTGCCAGGAAAACAAGTATATTTTCCTGGCACTATAGTGGTCCTTTAAACACAAACTGGATGAACACTTCTAAAAATCTAAAAAGGACCTAAATCCTATAGATAGGGGATAACCCTTAAGGCAAATATATATAAGTCAAAAACTAAAGAATACCCAAAGCAAGCAAAATTAGCAAGCGTTGGGGCCTATGGGATGGCGGCAAATGTTACAAAAATAGAATAATATTTATAAAGAAGTCCTGTACTGTCTTGTGCCGTTCCTTTATGTGGATACTTTGTTTATGAATCCAACTCCTGAGGGATTTGAGGACACTCTTTGCCCGAGTTTTCAGAACTGTTCAAATTTTTAAATCACTATTTGTGTTTTGCTTGTCATTCTGGTCTAAATAAAGACTATTTTATTTTTTATTTTTGGATAGTTAATGCAATGTTAAACACAAATACACACACCAGGCAAGCCATAAGGCTTGCTTTTACCACAGAAATCTCACTTTAACAGTGCTTTCACTACTGCAAGGGATTCTGGGTAGGGGCATGCAAATGAGCTCAACAAAGAACCAAATTTTTGACTCATAATTCCACTTTATACATGGATTCCTTGGAGTATGTATCTGCTGCATACAACAGTTTTGAAACACAATTCAGGAAGAGGTGCAATGCCAGTGAACCACTCATGGACAGCTGTTTTGTCGTTATTTCAACTCATCAGCATGATATAGGTTCCGGGCTTGCTCTCCCTGCTCAGCTCCCTCGTGCATACAGCAGTGATCACTGCACCCTCGCTGCCCGAACGCCAGCCGCTCAGCAACCCCACTGAGAGAGATGCACCAACTGGCACATACAAACACAGATATACACACCTTGACACACACCGGCACATACAAACACAGATACACACACTTTGACACATAGATACACACACCTTGACACACAGATACATACACACAAAGAGATACACACTGTGTGGCAAGGTTGTGTATCTGTGGGTCAGATACATAAACACTGGCACATACAAACAGATAGACACACCTTGATATACAGACACACACAAACACAGATACACACACTTTGACACACAGATACACACACACACACAGATACACACTGTGTGTCAAGGTGTGTGTGTGTGTCTGTGTGTATCTATGTGCCAGTGTGTGTGTGTATCTTTATCTGTGTGTCAGATACATACACACACACACATACACATTGACACACAGATACACACACTGGCAAATACAAACACAGATACACACACTTTGACACACAAATACACACACTTTGACACACAGATACACACACCTTGACACACAGATAGATAGATAGATAAATAGATAGATACATACATACATACATACACACACAGATACACACTGTGTGTCAAGGTGTGTGTCTGTGTGACACTATGTGCCAGTGTATTTATCTGTGTGTCAGATACACACACAGATACACATTGACACACAGATACTCACACTGGCACATACAAAAAATGGCACAATTTTTTTCCCGTGGGAGAGGGGGTGGGTAGGGGGCTCCACAATGTTGGTATACTATGTCAAAGGAGTCCACGGGAAAAATGATTGGGAATCCCCTGGTCTATACCTATTTAATGGTTACATAATAATATAGAATATGGTTATATGAGGAGTTAAAAACAAGAACAAAAACAGGAACAATGTCTGTGCGTGTGTTTTTGATTGCTCAAGTTCAAGGTAGGCCATCGACTGAATAATGGTTCATTGTTGCCACTAGTCATGACAGTGGTGATAAGGCACTTTTGGACCCTTATAAAGTGTTATGTATCATGGTTCGTTTACTAGAGTGTTGGATGGAGGAGGTGCCACTTTCTGAGAAGTGACAGTTCCGTTTTAATCCAACAGAGAGCAGGTTGTCATCTGAACAAGTCAAAAGCAAGGGTTTATTTATTAAATGGCGCACTATGGGGACTCTGATAACTAATGTAAAGCAGTTAGCTGAGCTGTTTTCAAAATGTGCCACATAATATTGCAACCTGAAAACGCAGCTTTGAATTAATCAAAATTCACTTTGTATGGAGTCCTACTAGTTTAGACTTTTCTGGGTGAATTCAATCATTAGTGTCAAGTGCAAATAGCCTTCATTCACTAGTGATAAAACTTACCATTACTACTGTTCTGCAATATGTACGATCTTCCATGTACACGCCTTTGCACATAATCTGCCACCCACTATATTACTGCATTATATGTGTTATATATATATATACACACACACACACACACACACACACAAGGACACATACGGTCACACGTACATTTTAAACATGCAGTTCTACGATTAATGTTTGATTGCCGCGAATCTTAAAACATAAACATTCTATTGCTCACACACAACACTCAGTGCATTCCATTGTTGGTATTGTAAATTAAATCATATATTTTACCTTCTTTCATCGGTCTGCGACGCGACAGGATTTTTTTTTATTATTATTCAGGATTTAAAAAACCCAGTGTCCCATCCCCCTTTCCTGCAATGTTATTTCCTGTGACTCAGATGACATCACAGCAGGCAAATGGAATGTGCGTGGGGGAGGAGCACATACTGCCTGCTTTCTTCCCAAAGTGTTGTTCGTGGACTTAGTAATTTCAGCCCCTTTGCAAAGATTTTCCCACACGTATACAAATATTTCTGTAGAAGGTAGTCTGAATAGCTTTACATTTTACTTTCGTGCATGGTCTTCAACATGATCTGATTTTATGGCTGTTTTCTTCATTTTTAAGTGTGTGTATGTCGATATATATGTAATAGCGTTATGTGGGATTGATATGTTGTCAAAACGTTCTCCCACTATTTATTTCTGAACATTAACTCCAATATTTTTCACCCACCCTACATTTGATTTATGTTGAATTATGTGAGTTGTACAAGTGCTGCCCCTGCCTGTGAAACATTTAACCACAACACTAAATGTACAAAGAATTTTAAAGTAAAAAAAAAAAATCAGCTGACGTTCCAACACAAGCAAAAAGATATCACAAGACAAAATAGGGGCTTATTGGTTTTTGGTTAAGCTGAAAGTGAGAGGAAAGGCAGAACTTCAACCAGGTTTAGGTTCAGCTTGTTGTTATTTCCTATAATGGCTGATGAGAAGTGGCATTTTCTTGAGCAATGCACAGTGCACTCTCGCCATGCTCTGTCACCAAAAGTAGGACACCAGGTAACAAACCTAGGCCAGGACCCCGAAATCAGTACTGTCCTACCGTATTTGGGACAGTTGGGAGGCCTGCTAACATATTCCAGGCTGTACAGTAGGTGGAGTAACAAAACAAGTAGCTGTAACAAGAAAAGTTGGACATACAAACCCATTGGGTGCTGAGTGTCCGGCTTAAACAAACTTACACATGTTTCTTCCATGTTTTTCTTTACGTGACATTATCCACGTTGACTTGTTCTTCACATATACAGTTGTAATAAAAATTAATCAACCCCCATTGCAAAGCAGGTTTATTGTCAAAATTTACAGACTTTCAGCAATTTGCAATAAACAAATCAAACAAAAGCAATTGAAATAGCTCAACACAACGAATGCTTCAAGTGGTTTCCTCAAATTCAACTGAAAATGCAACTTATAATGTATTAAAGATACATTTTCCAGTCTAAAAATGATTAGTAGAGCACTCTTTTGCTGTTATGACCTGCTGCAAACGAGATGCATAGCCAGACAACAGCTTCTGGCAGCGTTCCGGAGAAATGAGAAATGGTCTTCAGTTCGGTAATATTGTTGATTTGCATGCTGCAACCACCTTCAAATCCCACCAGAGGTTTTTTTTTTTTTTTTTTCAATTCTTTATTTGTCAGATCATGCACAGGTTTGGTACAGAAAAAAGTTTTACAAGTATATAGTCGAGCATACAGGAAAGCATATCAATTTGCTTATACATAGGTATTTTGTAAAGTTCTATTGCCAGACATGTTCAAAGAGGTATGGCATTACTGAGTCGGTTGTCCACCAGAGATTTTTTATGGGGTTCAAGACTGTGATGGCCACTGTACAATTTTCATGACTTCTGCAATCACGTCTTGGTGGAATTTGAAAGATACTTGGGATCATTGTCTTTTTGGAAGGTCCAATGACGCCTAAGCATCAGCTTCATCACAGACAGCATGATGTTTTCTACTAGGATTTCCTGATACTTCAGTTAATCCATCTTGCCTTTTACATGCGGCAAGTTTTCAGTGTCAGAGGATGCAAAGCAGCCATAGAGCATCATTGAGTTACCACCATGCTTAACTGTAGCCAGAGTGTTCTTTTCAGTGTATGCTTTATTCTTTTTCCTCCAGACATACCGCTGATCCATTGGGCCGAAAAGTTCCAGTTTTGTTTCATCGCTATACAGAACAGAATTCCAAAACTTCTGTGGCTTATTTATATGATTTTGAGCATATTGGAATGTAAACCTTCTGCGTTTAGTACACGCCTTACTGTGCTCACTAAAACCTCAGTGTCTTTTGCCACCATGTCTTGCTGCAGGTGTCCCTTGTGGCACCTTGCAATCACCGAAATGATTTGTTTTCTGAGCTCTGATGCACACACATTTATCTCTAGCTTCCTGGTGCCTTATTGTGACATCATATATGTTGTGAAAAAAAAATCTTAGGCACTCACTGTGATAACTTCAAGCTGATTTAATGGATACGGCAACGTTTCGACCTGTACCCAGGTCTTTATCAAGCTTGATAAAGACCTGGGTACAGGTTAAAACGTTGCTGTATCCATTAAATATGCTTGAAGTTATCACAGTGAGTGCCTGAGATTTATTCTTTTGATATCTGAATGATGGGGTATGCTGACCCATGCTCAGTTAATTGGCGGATCCAGGGGTGGGCAACGGGGCAATTGCCACCCCCCAGGTTCTCCCCTGCCGGCTAGTGCAGGGCTGGCATTGTCCAAGTGCCAAGTGCTATCTCTGGTCTCCCTCCCCGGTCCGCAGGCACCGTGCTGGCAGCCGGCAGGGGAGGGAGAGGGAGGAGAGAGGACCCGGGAGCTCAGCCTGCAGCTCCTCCGGGTCCTCCTCTCGCGAGATTTGGAGCGTTGCCGCGGTTACCACGGCAACGCTCCAAATATCGTGAGAGTGAACTCTAGCCCTGGAGCTGCAGGCTAGAGTTCACCTCAACACCACTGGGACCACCAGGGATTCCCCACCGGACCACCAGGGAATCCCACCGGACCACCCGGGAATCCCACTGGACCACCAGGGAACGAAATATTCCCCCCTCCTCCCAGTAAAGGTAAGAAGGGAGGGGGGACATAAATATATATATTTTATTAAATACATTTTTTATTATTATTATTAAAAAGCCTCCCTACCCTCCTTCCCCCCCCATACAAACACTGCCCCCCATACACACTGCCCCCCATACACACACTGCCCCACAAACACCGTCCCCATACACACACTACACACACTGCCCCACAAACACTGTCCCCATACACACACTGCCCCACAAACTATGTCCCCATACACACACTGCCCCCATACACACTGCCCCACAAACACTGTCCCCATACACACACTGCCCCCATACACACACTGCCCCATACACACACACACTGCCCCACAAACACTGTCCCCATACACACACTGCCCCACAAACACTGTCCCCATACACACACTGCCCCACAAACACTGTCCCCATATACACACTGCCCACATCCCCTATACACACACTGCCCCCCCATACACTGCCCCACAAACACTGTCCCCATACACACACACACACTGCCACCCCCATACACACACTGCACACCCATACACACACAGACACATACAGTGCCCTACACACACACTGCTGCCCCCCCATACACACATTGCCCCACACACACGACCCCCCATACACACTGCCCCACACATACATACATACAGTGCCCCCCATACATACAGTGCTCCCCATACACACACTGCCCCACACAGACATACAGTGCCCCCCATACACACACTGCCCCAAAAACACATACAGTGCCCCCATACACACACTGCCACACACATACCCTGCCCCCTAACACACACACTGCAACCCCGACATACACTGCCTCACTCACACACACACTTCACCGCTCACACACTTCACCCCTAACACACACCACTGCTCCTATGCCCTATATCCCAGCAGACCCCAGGTAAGTTGTCAAACTGTTCTTAAACGGTATGACTACTTACTCTGGGGTGGGATCCTGGCACTACTGGCACCATAACTACTACACTGAGCTGTAGTGCTTATTGTCAGAAAAAAGAAAGAGGCACTATATAATATCCCAAGCAAAAACCAGAAAACAGTGCCAAAACACCCAGAAGTGTACCTCACATACACCAATACAATATAAACAAAGGGGTAAGTCTATACTGTATCAAATACTAGTATAGACTAAAGGGGTGGCACAACAAACATGAACCATACAACCTGTATACACTATAACACAGTTCTTCAAAGAATCTAAAATATCCCTCTGTGATAGTATAAAAATATAAAAAGTAATTGTATACTAAAAACAATAAAATAACAAAAAAAGAAGAAAAAAGGTATTCCTGATCAATATCCAACACGTTTCGTCTATGTAGATCTAGGTTTTTCCGCGGCAATTTCAAGATCACTTGGAGGCTTATAAAAGAAGGATTTTCTGGACATTTTCTTATCCCTGAAGAAGTCTACATAGACGAAGCGCGTTGGATATTGATCAGGAATACCTTTTTTCTTCTTTTTTTGTTATTTTATTGTTTTTAGTATACAATTACTTTTTATATTTTTATACTATCACAGAGGGACTTCTTTTCCTCGGTACCACTTGTGAGTGGTGATATGCTGCTATAATCTTCACTTGATGTAAGTGCAATTTGTATCAATAAATCTATTTTTGTTTGCAATACTGCTCTATATACCTCTTTTTATTTGAGGATTGGGTGTTCTGAATCTACGCCTTTTTGGTCCATACACACAAGCCCACTGAGAAAGAATACGCTACTTTAATACCCTATGGAAGGGAGACAAGCGCAGATCTACAGCACGGTCTTGTAAGTTCTCTATCTACGGGACTGAATCATATATTCCTGTACATGCTTCACTATTATGTGATTTTTTTCATATTTTAGATTCTTTGAAGAACTGTGTTATAGTGTATACAGGTTGTATGGTTCATGTTTGTTGTGCCACCCCTTTAGTCTATACTAGTATTTGATACAGTATAGACTTACCCCTTTGTTTGTAGTGCTTATTGTGCCTGGATTATTTATTTAAATAATCTACAAGAGCCTCTCCCGAGATCAGGCTCTGGATCCGCCACTGGCTCAGTTAGCACCCTGTGATTTTTATGATTGAATGCAACCCTCTTTTCTCTTTTGGTATCATATATGATGTGGACCCCTCCGATTTGTCTCCCTTATAGTGTCAGCCCATTTGTCGCTTTTTGATGATGTGTATAGACATCATGGTCCTCTGTGACCAATCACAACCCATTATAAGGGTATATATACTTCCTTGTTGTTTTTTTTTCTTTGCCCTGTTTTTGTTACCGGAGAGTTTGTTTACACAGTGTATTGGATTTCCTGTTTTCTGACCTAGGCTTGTTTGACTATTCTTGCTCTCTGTTATCCTCATCTTGGCCTGGCTATCGATTCCATGTATTTCTGTAATCCTGACTTCTGCTTGTCTCTCGTTTATTCTCTGTCTGCTTGCAGACATTTCATATATCTGTCTCAGG